CTGGATTGTTTTCTTTGTTGGCCTGTCTCCTCTAAGATCTTGATGCTTGGCAGCACCTGGGACTCCTTCCTTTGCTGATCTGATGTCACATTGCTGCCACTAAGTTTCACCTTCTTCAGACTCCTTGGTGATTGACAGTCTGGGACTCCTCACCTTGTTGATCTTATTCTGGTTATCTCCATGAGGCTCCAAAAGTCAGAGTTGGAGAACACTTTATTCAAGGATCGTGTGTAGGGCCTCCTCGGGCTGAAAGCAGGCTCAGAACAGGATGGGACTTGTTCTGTTTTGTGGTGGGAAGTCAGTTCAGTTGTTCCACCTGATCATCACTTTGACTTCCGGAACTGCCTGAGCCCTCTCCCTTGGCAAATCTGACTCTACTTCCCTCTAATTAAGGCGGTTACTTCTAGGTTCCCAGATTTGGAAATGAGGGGGGAGGGTTACTTATCCTGACAGCCCTGCAAAGGGTCTCCCAGGAATGACATCAGGGTTAAAGTGGGATTCTAAGGGGTTCACACTTTTCTGTGGTGGGTGGACTCCTCAGTCCTCATTCATGAAGGTTTTCATCTCGGATCCTGACTGTGTGCTCAAAGAAAAATTTTAAAGAGAGCAGAATGATAATTATAATTTAGATTTAGTTAGGTGGCAGAGAAAATATAAGATGAAAAGCAATTATAAAAAGCATTTTTTAGTGTTTTATTTAATCACAGAAGCATCTACATTTACAGTCATACCTCATTTTATTATGCTTTATATTTTTTTTGTTTATAATTTGAAGGTTTGTACAACCCTGCTTTGAGCAATTCTATTGGTGCCATTTTTCCAAGTTCAGATGATGGTTAGAATTTTTTAGCAATAAAGTATTTTTGAATTAAGGTATACACATTATTAGGAGATAATGCTGTTGTACACTTAATAGAGTATAGTAATAACATAACTTTTATATGCACTGAGAAACCTAAATAAATAAATAAATTATGTGACTTGTTTTATTGCAATATTTGCTTTATTGCAGTTGTCTGAACCAAACCTGCAATATTTTCAGTTATACCTGTATTTGAAAAATAATGGCACACATGTGTGAGACATTTAGTTTAGTATAAAGCATAGTGGTTAAAAGCTGATTCTGGACCTAGTTTGAATTCATCACTTGCTAACAAACTTTGAACAAGTTATTTGCTTGTGTATGCCTCCATTTTTCTCATCTGTAAAATGAATAATAATTGTACCTACCTTTGTAGATCTGTCATATAGGTTATAAATTAGTTAATATACATAAAAAGCCTGGAAGAGTACCTAGCACATTGTAAGCACTATTGAAAGTGTTTGCGGGAGATTAAAAATGGCAATGGAGTAAGTGGAAGCTACACTGACATTCTCCCAGGACCAAACTGGAAATACAAATAAAATACTGAAAAAAACCACCCTGAAAAATCAACTTAAGACTAGCTGGAGAGAACCCTGATAACCAAGGATGGAAAGTGGAGACCACATAGAGAATGGTAGGAAGTGTGGAGGCACAAAAGAGCCAGCCAGGATTCCACAGACAGCAGCTGAATATCTGGAGGGATTTCTCAGCCATGAGGAGTTCACATTGAGAACTCTGGAGTCTAAACCCCAGTCCAGAGAACCAGAACCTAGAAAAGATCCCCACAGAACATCTGGCTGTGAAAAGCAACAGGGTTGCTGTCTGCCAGCCAGAGATGCCTGGATATACAGGCACCTTCTTAAAAGGCCAATGCACAAAATTTCAATGCAGCCACTTACCTTGGGCTGTGGACTGGAGCTGTGTGAGGAGAGTCCAGAGTTGGGGGTTCTAGAGTTGAGCTCAGAAGACAGTCACTCAGTTTTCCTGTGCTGAGTCATTCCCTCATGCTACAGGGAATTTCTTTCTCTGGTGAACCTTTGCTATCCACAAGGTTTTGACTGGGGAGAAGACAGTTGCCCCCACCCTGTTGGAAGCTCTCTTGCACAACCCTATGGTCTATAGCCTGAGGCAAATTACATCTCTGAGAATAACAGACTTCAGACCGTGGTGGATCTCTGGAGGCTTTGAGTCTTTGCCTGATTTCCTTCTGGGGTTGGAGCTAGGAAAAGCAGAGCCTGCTGTACATCTTGGTCCTTTCCAAAAGCACTCAGCCCCAGCAGAGGGAGCCACAAACTGTGGATTGCTGATAGCTCCAAAGAGAGGACCAGGGCCAGTCAGAAACAGCATCTGACATTGTCCTGCATTAGAGATTGGGAGTTGTAGCAGATCTACCTAATACATAGACACAAATAGGCAGCCAAAATGGGTAGACAAAGAAACAACCCCAAATGAAAGAACAAGAGAATTCTCCATAAGAAGAGTAAACGACATGGATAAGAAATTTATTAGAGTTTAGAATAATGATGTCCAAGATGCTCAACAGCATGAGAAAAGATATACTACTATGAAAAAAGACTATTCAAAATAAAGAATGACATAGCACTAATAAATAATACATTGAAAGGAATACACAGCAGATTGGGGAAAGCCAAGGATCAGATCAGTGAATTAGAAAACAGGTCAGGAAAAAATCAGAGAACCAAAAAGAAAAAAGTTAAAAAAAACAGGACAGCCGAAACCGGTTTGGCTCAGTGGATAGATCGTCGGCCTGCAGACTGAAAGGTCCCAGTTTCGATTCTGGTCAAGGGCATGTACCTTAGTTGTGGACACATCCCCAGTAGGGGGTGTGCAAGAGGCAGCTGATAGATGATTCTCTCATCGATGTTTCTAACTCTATCCCTCTCTCTTCCTCTCTGTAAAAAAAAAATCAATACAATATATTTATAAACAGAAAACAGGAGGACAGCTTAAGGGAGCTTGGGACAACATGAAATATAACAATATTTGCATAATGGGTGTGCCAGAAGGAGAAGAAAGTGAGCTAGGGATAGAGAATGTGTTTGAAGAAAAAACATAACCCAATTATATGCTGTCTGCAGGAGGCCCACCTCAGAACAAAAGACTCACACAAAATGAGAGTGAAGGGATATAAAACATTTTTCCATGGAAATGGAAAAAAAGCTAGGGTAGCAATACTCATCTGACAAAATAGACTTCAAAATGAATGCCATCACAAGAGACCACACAGGTCACTACATAATACTAAAGGGATTGATCCAACAAGAGGATTTAACCTGATAAATATATACGCACCCAATATAGGAGCACCTAAATACATAAAAAAAAAACTTCTAGAATTTGACAGCAATATAGTCACAGAAGGGAACTTAACACCCTGCTGACTTCACTGGCTAGATCTTCCAGGCAAAAATTTAACAAGGAGACAGTGACTCTAAATGACACACTGCATCAGTTGGATTTAATTGACATTTATAGAACATTTCAGCTCAGTAAGTTGCAGAATATACATTTTCAATGACCCATGTTAGGACACAAAATAAGTCTCTACAAGTTCAAGAAGACTGAAATAACATCAATCATTTTAGATCACAATGGAATGAGATTAGAAATCAAATATCTACAATAAAAACACTCAAAAACATTCAAACACATGGAGGCTAAATAGCAAGTTATTAAGGAATGGGTTATCAATGAAGTCAAGAAAGAAAAAACTTGGAAACAAATGAAAACACACACAAACAAAATATCTGGGACACAGCCAAAGCAGTCCGAAGAGGGAAGTTCATAGCACCACAGGCCTACCTTTAAAAAAAAAGAAAGAAAAATTAATAAATTATTTGATCCTACAACTTAAAGAATTAGAAAGAATAACAAGTTAGGCAAATTTTATGATATATAAATTATATCTTTTGGCATATGGGATGATGCTCAACCAACTGAGCCACATTGATCAGGGCTTGTAAATTATACCTTAATAAAGTTTTAAAAAATAATTATTTTATGCCAATACAGATGAGTCTTGAAAATATGCTAAGCAATAAAGAAGCCAGTCACAAAAACCACATATTATATGATCTCATTTGGACTGACCAAGAGGGAAATGGGAGTGACTTGCTAATATTTGGGGGTGTTTTTTGTTTTTTTTTTTGAGGTGATGAAAATGTTCTAAAATTGTTTTGATGATGATGGTTGCACAATTGTGTAAACATACTAAAAACAATTGAATTGTATACTTTAAATGGGTGGATTATGTGGCATGTAAGTTATCGCAATAAAACTGTTACGGGAAGTAAATAAAATTATATGCTATATGTGAAGGAGAATTAGAGGTAGGGAGAACTGTAGTAGTGGTAGGCCTGAGGAAGGCCTCACTGAGAAATAGTTGAGCAAAAAAAGTGAAAGAGATGAGAGACTGAGCCATATAGATTCTTGGGGGAGGAACTTTCTAGGAAGAAGTGATAATCAGTGAAAGATCTTGAGAAGAGAGCATTTCTGGCATGTTTGAGGAACAACAGTGTGGTCTGTATGGCTGAAATTGAGCAAGCAAGAAAGAGCAGTAGGAAATGAAGTTGAGAGAAGGAGGGATCATGTAAGGCTATTGTAAGCACTTTGGTTTTTACTGTGAAGGAGATGGGGAGACGGTGTAGAGTTTTGAGTAGAGGAATGACATCATCTGACATAGATTTTTAACAATGGCTGCGGTACTGAAAATAAACTGATGGACTGGAGCTGAGATGTTAGAGAAAGAGAAGATCAAAGATGATGACATATTTTTTGGCCAGGCAAACTGAAAAGGAGGGGGAAGATTGATAATGAAGCAGATTTGGGGGCTGGGGATGGTGGATGCCAGGAGTTTTTGACATGTTTGTGAAAGTCATCAGACATCCAAGGGCAGATTTGAGTAAGCAAATAGGATGTCTAAATCTGGAATCTAGGGAAGAGGTCCTCAAGTAAAGATTGTATTTAAAGCTACGAGTCCTCCAATCCATCAATATAATATACTTAATACGATAATATTTTATTTTCTTTCCCTTAAATAGGCTCTTAAATATTGTTGGCTTAATCTTCCCCTGCCTCCAAAGAAAATAAATATGTTCCTTTTCTTATATTTTAGGATCTTCAAGATGAAGTTCAAAGGGAGAGTACTAACCTGCAAAATCTCCAGGCCCAGAAACAGCAAGTACAGGAACTCCTCGATGGGCTGGATGAGCAGAAAGCCCAGCTGGAGGAACAACTCCTGGAAGTCAGAAAGAAATGCTCTGAGGAGGCCCAGCTGGTAAAGACTGGCCATTTACTGCTGTGTATTTACACCTTAGTTGCTTTCCCTGGCTTAAAATGGAAGCATTCTCTGTTTCTTGTTGTTGCTGTCATTAGGTGGCAATCTCTAATCAACATCATGCACATGAAGGAAATGGAACTTAGTTCACTCAGAAATTACAGGCCTTCCTTAGGGAAAATAGGGCAATTAATGTACTATTTTTCCAAATTTTATTTGGAAGTACGGTACCTGTGCCTTTTAACTATCTATTCCCTAATTGTCTTTTCTATCAAATGTTTACATTTAAAAATACCAAAATAGTAAGCTAACCAAATAAATGTATTGTATTATGGAACATTTTAATGACATTTCTTTTTTTTATTCCTCTTCTCATTCACCTCCATATTATAGATCTCATCCCTGAAAGCTGAATTAACTAGTCAAGAATCGCAGATCTCCACTTATGAAGAAGAGCTGGCCAAAGCTAGGGAAGAGCTGAGTCGCCTGCAGCAAGAAACAACAGAATTGGAGGAGTGTGTGGAGTCAGGGAAGGCCCAGCTGGGACCTCTTCAGCAGCAACTGCAAGATTCACAGCAAGAAATTAATTCAGTAAGTCTTTATAGCTGCAAGAAATATGAGAAATATGCTCAGATGGGCCCTCCCCTATCCTTGTAGTAAATACTTTCTCAACTTCTGCTCTTTTCTCTCTCTGCCTAATTTATTATTCATTTTTCAATAATTTCATACAAACAGGTTTCTTGTCATAAATTGTAAACTATCGTTCATTTTGTACATGTGATAATAATAATTAGTCATGGTTAAGATGGTTTACTTTAAGTGCTGGCTCTGCCACTTATTATCTGGATTACTTTAGCATCAGGTTCCTCATCTTTAAAATTGGAGAATTAATAATACCTCTGCCTCTCAGGGCTGCTGTGAGGATTAAATGAAGCAAAACCTGTGAGACATTTTATCATAGTGCTTGATACATAGATGCTAAGTGTTGGGTGTTTTTATAAATAGCTAGAAGCCCAGCGCTTGAAATCACAAGGCCCTGCCCACCCGAGTGTGCCCATACCCCTGCCCACCCATGTCAGTCTTTGGTGGTTAGGGCATTAGGGCCATGGGCTCTTTATATATATAGATAACCCAGTATCTTGTGATTCTAATTTTGAAGTCAGTCTTACTTATGTGGCAACTTTTAATTTTTAAAATAGAAAACTGGTTTTTATATAGATAAATGTGCATTGTTGTGGTGAGTTCAGCATATAGATCCTTTGCTTTGTTATTTCTAAGCCTTTATAAATGGAGAATATTTTATAGAATGATAGTATGATGGTTAGATAGGAGCATAGAGATTATGTAGCTATTAACTTAAAAATAAAAGGAAGGGTCTTTTGAAATGAGAGGCAAAAAAACAAACAAACAAGGATTTATTTGAGATTAATAAGTATAGCTTATTTGGGACACACTAGGCAGAAACCCATATCATGTTTTTATGAGTAGAAGGGGGACAATTACATTGATTAAAGGAAGACATTTCTGTTGGTTCAGATAAATACAACATAGTTAATTAATTCTAAATTTTTTTGTTTATTTGTTTTAATTGTTGACACTATTACAAATCTCATTTTTCCCACCTTTGCCCAATTCCACTCAGTCCCCACCACCCCTCCCCGTAAACATTTTTAATTTTCAGTCCAACAGTCAGAATATCTGTTTGTGTGTTTGTGTGTGTTTTGTTTTTTGTTTGTTTGTTTGTTTTTTCATTTGCAGTTTTTTGTGACACAGTGTTGCCCTAGACCCAGTCCAAAGGTTATTTTGCCATGTTTTTTGGTCATTCTTTGTTTTTGTTTTTTTGTTGTTGTTTTGTTTTTTGTTAATCTTCACCTGAGGACATTTTTCCCCATTGATTTTAGAGTGGGAAGGAGGCAGAGAGAGAGAGAGAGAATGAAAGAGAGAAACATCAATATTAGAGAGAAATATCGATTGGTTGCCTCCTACACCTGCCCCCAATGGTGTCCAGGGATCAAACCTGCAACCCAGGAATCAAACCCGAGATCCTTTGGTGTATGGTGACCCTCTGACCACAGAGCCACACCGCTGCTTTAACATTCCAAAAATTTGAGTCATAAGATATACAAAGCAGTACCTCTGGCATGATAGCTCTGGTTCCGTTTAAAGTGGCTCCATTTATTTATTTGGACATAGCCTATTCCTTTTATTTTGAATTTGAACAAACTGTAACTATATTGTGTTAGGGTCGCCAAAGGAAGTACACTGAAAGCAGTAAAGATTTATAAATTTATTGGGTCAAGTGGAAACCAAATTGGCTGAGCTCCAAAATGGTGCTAGCATTCAGGGACAGTGAATCACAGATTTTAAAGGACTCTAGGTGAGCTTTTTCAGTGGGGAATTTTCTGGGCAGGTCCAGAACCTGGGCAAATTCAGAGGGTAAAGTTACTGCTCTTAGCAAATGGAATGTAGTCTAAGCCAAAGGGAATGTTGTTATAAAATGATCTAATGGTCAGTTTCCCAGGGGAGGGGATATCAATTCCATTATTTGACCAGACCTAACATAATGTTTTTGAGATTCATCCATGTTGTAACATGTATCAACATTGTATTCCATTTAATGTTCATAGGTATTTTGTTTATTCCTTCCAAGTTAATGAACATTTGGAGTCTTCTTACTTTGGGGTTATCCTATATAATAAAACCCCAGCAACCATAACAACCAGAACGACCACTCACCCTGTCGCTATGAGGTACATTGACTACCTCTCAGTCCCTCCCCCCCTGGCCCACAGGCTCAGATTGCAGCATGGCGAACAGAACCACGGGGAACCGGGTGGGTGGTGGCGGGGCAGAACTGGGGAGAGGCAAGTGGGCAAAAGGCAGACCTCTTGGTCCCTCCCTTTGGCCTATAGGCTCCGATGGATCAGCAGATGGCGAACAGGGGAACCAGGGTGGATGGCACGGTGGGGCGGGACTGGGGACTGGCGAATTGGCAGAAGGCAGTCCTCTTGGTCCCTCCCCTTGGCCCACAGGCTCTGATCGATTTGTGTTGTTGGGGGGGGGGGGGAGAGGAAGGCAGGACTGGAGACTGGTGAATGGGCAGAAGATGGCCCTGATCACAGGCTAGGCCTAGGTACCCTATCTGCACATGATTTCATGCGCTGGGCATCTAATCCTATATAATAAAGAGGTAATATGCAAATTGACCTCATGTCCTCATCTTTATTTCTTACCTAGTACTTACAGCAGGAAAAAAGCAAAGAACCTCTGACCTTAAATTTCTTGTGGTTTTATGATGTATGCTGCTTTTATACAAGTATTTTAAAGGTGTTTTAATAGTTTATTGCACTTTCCTTGCACAATTTACAAAGAGCTTGTGTTGCATGACATTTTTTTATATCACCTTAAGTTTACTAAGAGACTAAGGAAGAACACAGGCTTAGTGACAAGTGCATGAGAGAGCCAGACACAAGAATGCTTAGTTCTGTTTAAGATTCTATGGTCTTGGATATAACCATAGGGAACAAACTGCCTTAAATAGAGTTAATAGGCTACTTATTACTTACTACTGCTTCTATATGATGGGTATTATTTTAGTATTAAGGTTTTAAATTGTTGATGGCAAGGTTGCAGTAGGTATAGAAATTGATTAAATGGTCATGATAAAAAAAAAAATCTAATAGGATAATATGCAAATTAGTCAGGTTGCCATCACAAATTTTTTTAATGAAAGAATAGAAAACATCAGAGTGCATTACATGTAGTAAGCTTAAGTATTCATGAAATTTGTTTCACCACTGTATAAGCATATATATGTATGTGAAGTCATGTATAAACTATGTATGATTATATATGTGTGTATATTATATACTAGGGGCCTGGTGCACAAAATTCGTGCACTTGCAGGAGGTCCCCTCAGCCTGGCTTGTGCCCTCTTGCAGTTCAGGAACCCTTGGGGGATGTCTCCCACAGGGAGCAGATCTAAGCCATAAGTTGGTCATCGTTAGCACTGCTGCAAAGGCCGGGGAGGCTCCTGCACTGCTGCTGCACTCACCAGCCCTGGACCCAGCTTCTGGCTGAGTGGTGCACCTCCTGTGGGACACACTGACCACTAGGAGGCAGTTCCTACATTTAGCGTCTTTCCCCTGGTGGTCAGTACACATCATAGTGACTGGTCATTCCACTGTTTGATCAATTTGCATATTAGCCTTTTATTATATAGAATGTGTTTATATTTATGTATACACTAGAGGTCCGATGCACAAAATTCGTGCCACGATAGGCCTTCCTTCCCCTGGCTGCTGGCACCAGCTTCCCTCTAGCACCCAGGACCTGGGCTTCCCTCTGGCCGCCGGCATGCACCCAGTACTTGGGCTTTCCTTGCAGCCCTGGCTTAGTCTGGAAGGTCATCCAGAAGGATGTCTAGTCTATTAGCATATTATACTTTTATTATTATAGGTATATCCACAGAGACACCCAAATAAATACATATATATTTACTGAGTTAGAATGTAAAATATATTTCTTTCTATGGATTAAAGTTAAAAAAAATTTATAAGCCACTGCTGTTTAGCATTAGCAACATACAAGGCACATATATGCTGTGTGTTACAAATGTGTAGTATAAAAATTGGTAAATATATATATGCTTCCTGATGCCCACTGTTTAAATTTATATGCATAATACTAGTGTTCATTAAGTGAACATATATTAAGCACTTAAAGTGTGCATCATTGGAGGTACAAAGTTGATACCAAAAGCTGTGGTCTCAAAACAACAACAAAAAGTGTGGTCTCTATCTTCAAAGAGCTAAAGGTCTTTAACTTTTAAAAGATGGGTGAACTATTGGAATAGGAACAGGAAAAATCTGCTATAGTAGTAGGAAATGCAGTGTGCTAGGAACTTTTACACACATTTTTACATGTTATTTACATAGTCCTTTACATTTCACAGAGTTCTTTGCTTCATATAAACAAGTGATTATTACTCCCTTCTGGATTAAGGAACAGACTTGGAGAGGTTACTCTGACTAAGATCACCTAACTGGAAATTGATAGAGCTGGATTTACATCTGTCTACCAATCCAAATCATCTTTCGCAGGGTTATGATCCCCAAAGATCTGTGGTAAATTACAGATTTCAAATTGAGCAACTTAAAAACCTTATGGGGAAAAGGCTATATGAACAGAGCCTGGATTTATGAAATGTCAGGGTCATTTTTATATTTGCTAAAAGCAAAAAGTATAAATACAGGGAATTTTAATGTCATTTAAAATAAATATACTTTATGAAAAATTAGTACATTCCTTTTTTCTCAGAAACATTTTTTTATTCTGCCTTCTCAACCGGGCCTCTAGTATATAATATAGACACATATATAATCATACATAGTTTATACATGACTTCACATATACATATATGCTTATACAGTGGTGAAACAAATTTCATGAAAACTTATCCTTACTAATGTAATGCACTCTGATGTTTTCTATTCTTTCATTAAAAATATTTTTATATTTGCTAAAAGCAAAAAGCATAAATACAGGGAATTTTAATGTCATTTAAAATAAATATACTTTATGAAAAATTAGAATATTCCTTTTCACTCAGAAACATTTTTTTATTCTGCCTTTAAGATATTTGTAAATTCTTGCTGAAACCGGTAAACTCAGTAGTAGAGCGTCGGTCTGCGGACTGAAGGTCCCAGGTTCGATTCCGGTCAAGGGCATGTACATTGGTTACAGGCACATCAGTAGTGGGTGTGCAAGAGGCAGCTAGTCAATGTTTCTCTCTATCTCTCTCCCTTCCTCCTCTCTGTAAAATATCAATAAAATATATATTTTTTTTAAAAGATATTTGTAAATTCTTTAAAGATGTTACCCTGTTTCCCAGAAAATAAGACAGTGTCTTATATTAATTTTTCTCCCAAAGTTGTGCTAGGTCTTATTTTCAAGGGATGTCTTATCTTTCCATGCGCTGGGTCTTATTTTCAGAGGTTGTCTTATTTTCGGGAAACACAAAAGTATAAATAAGCATTATAAAAAAAAGTGGGCCCCAACATTTGTGTGTGTGTATTAAAATTTATTGTGTCCCACTTTTGTCCCAAGAGTATAAAGTCACTTGGATATTCGGATAAAAAAAACTTTGAGTGCCTTTTATTTTGCATATTTACCTAGCTTAGATTTGCAGGGTTTGGGAACACCCTACCTGAGTGCCATAAAAGGCCCATTTGGTCTGCCCCTGCCAAGGCATGAGGAGTGAGTTAATTAAAATTTTTACAAATATAATAGGGTAATTTTTAAGTTTATCATTTTGTATGGCCTACGAATGATGATAAATATCGAAATGGCCTTTGGCAGAAAAACTGTGCCCCACCTCTGATTTAGAGACTACTTCCTGGAGCTCTAGCCCATTAATAAGAAATTCCAAAGCTCATACTACCTTTGTCTACATTCCTTTCCTTCCCAACAAGAGTATGGATGGGTCCAAAACCTCATGTACTGTTCCTCAACTTCCTTTATCTCTTCTAATGCTTCACTACAAAATGTTCTCTAGCTCTGTCACTTTGCTCTCTTTTCCCCATTACCCTGACCCTTCTTCTAATTATAGCCTAGGTCTGCCAGTATGCAAATATTTGAGTTAAAATTCTTAGAGCTTTCAAAATCCATATGTTTTGGAATTTCAAGAAGTGAATTATACCATGCATCATTCCCAGACTATTCTCCTTATAGAAGCAAATGTGTCTTTGACTAAGTCTAGGTGTATGTCCATTGCATGTTACATTGCATGTATGTCCTTCTGGTAACAAATTCTGTTTGTACTTTTATTTTGTGTTGACAGATACAAATGAAATTGATGGAAATGAAAGAGCTGGAAAACCATAATAATCAATTAAATTGGTGCAGTAGTCCACACGGCATTCTTGTAAATGGCACTACAGATTATTGCAGCCTCAGTACCAGTAGCAGTGAAACAGCCAACCTGAATGAACATGCTGAAGGCCCGAGTAACATAGAGTCTGAGCCCATACACCAGGAGTCTCCAGTGAGTCTAATAGTTCCCTAACCCTCAAAATCAACTTCAGGAAAAAAAAAAATTGATTCAGATCAAAGTTTTTTTTGATATCAGACCTAATACAACTATGTGGCCTTGCCTAATCTGAGGACAATTGAGATTTTCTTTTTTTGAGAGGCAGAGTGGGAACTAATCCAACAGTTCTAAGAGTTTTAATAATTTTAAAATATAATTTAACTTGTCTATTTGTATATATGTTTTCAAAAACAGTAGCTCTGTAGGTAATAACTTTTAGAAATCGTTTTTAAATATTTTCACCTAGAGCTGAAAGTAATGCTTTATTTCCTAATGTTGAGGACAGTTGTTTACCAGTTATTTAGAGAGCACTGACTATGTACAGGAGTACTGCTGTGTGCCCTAGCCAGTTTGGCTAAGTAGATAGAACGTCAGCCTGCAGACTGAAGGGTCCCAGGTTCAATTCTGGTCAAGGACACATGCCTGGATTGCGGGCTCGGTCCAACGTGCAGGAGGCAGCCAATCAATGATTCTCTCGTATCATTGATGTTTCTATCTCTTCCTTTCTCTTCCTCTCTGAAATCAATTAAAAAAAAAAATAGGGTACTGCTGTGTTATGTGTGGGAGCTACAGAGAAAAAAGGCAAAGGAACTCTGCCTTCAAGCAGCACTGTCTAGTAATGTAACACTGTTTGAAAGGGCTGTGACAAAGGAGGCCTGGGATATTTAGCATGGAGGGGGCTCAGAGAAGATGTAGGGAAACTTCACAAGTGGCCTTCAAAGTGAGAAAGGGGTTCGTAAGCAAAGGAGGTGGTACATTCCTGGTAGAGAGAGCAGCATTAGCATCAGGTCAGTGGTTAGAGTGTCTTCCCACTCACCCAAGGGTGAGAGTTCCATTCCCAGTCAAGAGCACATACCTAGGTTGCAGGTTCATTCCCTGGCCCTGGTTTGGGACTCACGTGGGAGGCATCCAATCAATGTGTCTCTTTCACATTGTTTCTCTCCTACCATTCCTCACTCTAAAAATCGATGGAAAAAATGTCCTTGAATGAGGATTTTTAAAAAGAAGAAATTTGAATTAATTTTGAAGCATTGGAGAATTTATCATACAAAAGTAGGTAGACATTTAAGAATTTTAAGCAAGAAGTAACAGGGTTAAACTTAGCTTTTAGGAAATGTGAAAAGTGGATTGGAGAGTGGGATTGGACATATATTAAGACTGTTGGGAAATGGTCCATGTTAGAGTTGCTTCAGTCTAAATTAAGCAGTAAGAGATATAAAATTAACACTTGATTTTGCTTAGACAGTACAATGTTAGACATATTATAGAATTTTCTTTTAAGCACAAAAGGTAAAATTACTAGGTTATTCTTCAAAGACATAAAGTGGTGTTAAATGGAGATTGCCCTTGCCACTTTTTTTTTTAATCTCACCCAAGGAGTGAAGACATTTTTCCATTGATTTTTAGAGAGAGTGGAAGTTTTGAGAGAAAGAGAGAGAGAGAGAGAGAGAAAGAAAAGAGATCAGAGACCCATCAATTGGCTGCCTCCCACCTGACTAGGGATGTGGATTAAACCTGCAACTGAGGTATGTGCCCTTGACTGAGAGTTGAACCCGAGACGTTTCAGTCCATGTTCTGACACTAACTACTGAGCAACTGGCCAGGGCATTAAGCTTTATTATCTACTATTATTTCCCAGAAAGCAATGGGAAACCATTGGAGAGTTAAGATCAGATATGTGATTTAAATCTATTACTTTGATTATTATAAGGAAGGATAAATTGGAAAGTTACTATAATAATTGGACAAGAAATTATGTAAATGATTGATAGTGATAGTGAGGATGAAAAAGAAGGGAAGAATCTGAGAAAAACGTAGGTGGTAGATACTGTAAAAGATAGAATCTAACTGAGGGATGACCAAAGGGATGTGGTTAAAGAAGACCTCATGCTTGGTGATACCATTTTCCCAAGAAAGATTATGGAGAAGTCATTCAGTGAATATTTTCTGCTTGTCTTTTTATTTTCTAGTAATTTGGGGGTTTTCTTTGTCATTTTCTCTGCTAAGTAGAAAATACATTGTTAGTTCATGTGGCATTAATATGTTGTAGGTAAGAAGTAGTCCTGAAACACTGCCTTGTGGTGTGACTGATGAAATCGAAGTGGTGACTGCAGCTGTTAATGAAAAAGTTTGTCCTGAATTTAACAGTGACAGCCATTCAAAAGAGGTAAAAATAATTGTATACGTAAATGATCCTTATGGGTGGTTTCCTTTATGTTAAGGAAAGAAAAAAGTGTGTTAAATGAACTTTATGCTACAGAAATATTTGTTATATTACCATCAGTAGATTTTTCAAAGCATGTTATTTTAAAATGTTACCTTTTAAAACTTTGATTCCTAAAAATGTTTTTCTTATTTAAAATTATTTTTAGGAAGACCCATTTACTGTAGAATCGGGTTCCCTGACAGATCCAGTTGCAGATACAAACTTGGATTTTTTCCAGTCTGATCCTTTTGTTGGCAGTAAGTACTCTTATTTTTATATTATAGACTTATCAAAAAAAGGCTTTTAAATATATAAACTGTATAAGAATTAGGGCTTCAATTTTGAGAGCCTATTTGTTATAACAAAGGTAGAGTGGAAAGTAAGGTTTTATATGCTCAGATTTTAGTATTTGTCATCTTTACACAACATCTTTAAATTCTGGGGCTAAGCCTTTGATTATGTTTTAGAAACTTCCGAATAAGAGTCTTTTTCTTCTTCAGAATAGGGATCAGAAGGAGAGATAACGAGCACTCTTAAGTCAATAAGCAATTATTTACCAAAAGTGCCAATATCATTCTTTTAAAGTAATGGAAGCTATAGTAGTATACTGATCCCTGCCCTTAAGGTTCCTACAGTCTTATTGAAGAAACATAAGTTTAATAAATTAAACATCTGATGTCACTCTAAACTATTTTAAATACTACTTATGTTACAGCACTTTCTGCATTTTATTTCTAAAATCACCTTGTGAAACTGTCAATTTATATCAGTTTTAAAAATGGCAGACTGATCTCATACTGCCGTGATTCAAAGTGTGACTGGTTTAGAGTCATGGCAGTAATGAGTCTAGTGGTGATGGTAACACTCATTCCCTACTGTTGTGAAGAGGAGAGATTTTGTTAGTAAAATTCTTGCTGTCATGCCTGTCTTTTCTCATCCTTCTATAACTTGTGATCAAGAGATAAGTATAGTTATCTATGATTCAAATTTGCCTCTCTTATGAGGTGTGTTGGTGTTCTACCTTTACTCATTATTATTTTACATGTTTCCTAAAGGTGGATGCTATTCACTGTTTTTTTTACTTTGAGGTGGAATTAATGAAACAAATATTGCTTTGTGCTTTTGTTTTCAAGTTTTATTTTTTTAATATATTTTATTGATTTTTTGTTTTAAAGTTTTAAAGTACTTCTGGCACTGACCCTTTAAGTAATGGTGCCACATAGTAAATATTATTTTGATTTCTGCTTATTTATTTTATCACAGGTGACCCTTTCAAGGATGATCCTTTTGGGAAAATTGGTCAGTATATTATAAATTTATGTTGTATTATATTTAGGAATGAGAGATCCTAATGGGTAGTTATAGGAAATGGACTTCCTTTTTATTTAGTTTTGAAACTTATCTAAGGTCTCACTAAGATGTGTGTGCCTGATATTTTTAGAGAGAAAGAGGTAGATTCTTGTGAATTTACTTAACTATTAGCTATACTTTAAAAAAAAAAAATGACATTAGTGTTTATACTATGATGCTTTTAGTAATATTTAACTGATTTCTCCTTATTCGTCAAGGATTAGGGAAGTTTAATGAGTTACACTACAGGGCTTAGAACTTTCGTTTTACACTACTCTAATGAATGGAGGAAAAGGAAATATCTTTGGTTTGGTTTTATTTTGTTTTGTTCATCCTCACCAGAGGATATTTTTCTTTTGAAAAGTGGAAGGGAGAGAGAGAGACCGAGAGAGAGAAAATCGATGTGAGAGAGAGAGAGATTGATTGGTTGCCTCCCGCACAGTCCCTAACTGGGACCTGGGATAGAGCCTGCAACCAAGATATGTGCCCTTGACCAGAATTGAACCCAGGACCCTTTGGTCCAAGAGCTGACTCTCCAACCACTGAGCAAAACCAGCTAGGGCAAAAAGAAACATCTTAAAGATTTACTAAATGTCAAGTTTTTTAAGATATTCTTTTTTTAAGAAAATATATATTTTTATTGATTTCAGAGAGGAAGAGAGAATATAGAAACAGCCATGATGAAAGAGAATCATGGATCGGCTGTCTCCATGTCTCCTATTGGGGATCTAGCCCACATTCCAGGCATGTGCCCTGACCGGGAATCAAACCTGGGATCCTTCAGTCCACAGGCCAATGCTCTAACCACTGAGCAAAACAAGTTAGGGCAAGATATTATTTTTTTTTAAGTATGTTTTTATTGATTTGAGGGAGAGAGATAGAAACATCAAGGAGAGAGAAATATTGATCTGCTGCCTTCTGCATGCCCCCTGCTGGGGATTGAGCCCACAACCTGTGCATGTGCCATGGCCAGAATCAAACCAGTAACCTCTTGGTTCATGGGATGACACTCAACCAACTTAGCCACATTAGCCAGGCTTTAACATACTCTTTTTCTGGGATTTTGCATTAAAATAAAGCCAATCATTTGTACCATTTAGTTTTGCTTTGCAAACCTGTTCCAAATATTGGCTGTTACCCTTGAGCTAGAGAAAGAAAGACATTTAAAATTTTTTGTTGTTGTTTGAGTTAATGATAGCATAAGTTAAGGGTCTTAAAATGGGATCCCTTGAAATTATATGCTAGTTCTAAAAAATAAGTTTATTGCCGAAACCGGTTTGGCTCGATGGATAGAGCGTCGGCTTGGGGACTGAAAGGTCCTGGGTTCAATTCCGGTCAAGGGCATGTACCTTAGTTGTGGGCATATCCCCAGTAGGGGGTGTGCAAGAGGCAGCTGATCGATGACTCTCTCTCATCGATGTTTCTAACTCTCTGTCTCCCTCCCTCTCTGTACAAAATCAATAAAATATATTTAAAAAATAAATAAGTTTATTATGTAAAAGTCTCTTACCTTTTGCTGTGGTCGGGTGGCTCAATCGGGTTCAAGTGTTGTCTCATACACCAAAATGTTGTTGGTTTGATTCCCAGTTAGGGCACATATCAAAGTTCTGTATTCAGTCCCTGGTTGGGGTGTATACAGGAGGCAACTGATCGATGTTTCTCTCTCATATCAATGTTTCCTCCTCTCTTCCTCTCTCTCTCAAATCAATAAACATATCCTCTGGTGAGGATTTTTTTTTTAAGGACAGTTACCTTTTATCAAAATCATTATGGAATTTCTAGTCCCCCCTCCTTCAATTAGAAGCATCCCCAATTAGAACCAACTTAGAGATATTAGTAGAACCTAGCATACAGGAAACATTTGTATGTCAAGTGTTGGAATTATTGGTGTGCTTTGGGTGAATGGTGAACAAGTAGGAAAGAATGTTAATTAAAGCTGTTTAACTAGATGGGACTGTCTAGACCTTTTTTTAAAGATCAATAGTTATAATAGAAAGTACCTAACTTAGATTCTGTAGGAGTTCAAAATGGGGATGGGAAGGAGGGGACATCTGTAATACTTTCAACAATAAAGGTAAATTTTAAAAAAAATAAAGCATTTTGACTGATAGAAAAAAATAACAGAATATCTTCTTATTACTGCAGTTGTCATGCCTTCACTTGACAGGAAATTCAGTGTAATAGTTTTTTAGTCTCATAATAATGCTGTATTTTCTTAGATCCATTTGGAGGTGATCCTTTCAAAGGCTCAGATCCATTTGCATCTGACAGTTTCTTCAAACAATCTCCTCCTGACCCCTTTGTCACGTCCGGCACTGACCCTTTCAGTGCAGCCAGCAATAGCAGTATAACATCGGTAAGTGGGAGGGTTAAAAGCTGTTAAATGGGTAACAGTGTTGTGAGTTTCTTGCAATATGCAGGGGAAGAATCCTGTTTTAGGTTATTTCTGATGGGCCATGTAGGATTTTTAGTTTCATTCAGTCCATCTAGTTTTTGGTTCAGAGCTTGATCACCCACTGGAATTAACTGGGATAACTTGTATCATCCAGAAATCAAATCTGCTCTTTAAAGGACCAAATATTATCCCATTAAGGATCTATATATATATATATATATATATATATATATATATATATATATATATATGCCTAAGCAACTATTATGACAGGATGACTGGAATGAACAGAATGACCGGTCACTATGACGCCCACTTACCACCAGGGTCAGATGCTCAATGCAGGAACTGCCCCTAGCCAACAGGCCTCAATCACAGATGGGGCCTGCTGGGCGACTTCCCAGTTCCTCCCCCTGGCCAGTAGGCCCCGGTCACCCAATTGGGGCTGGGTCCCCGGGCTGGGACTGGAAACTAAGGGTGGGTGGTGACAGACACAGTACCATTCCCAGGCTGAGGGTTGAAGGTTGGCTCCCTCCTCGGGGCCAGTGGCCATCCTCCTGGTCCCTACCCCTGGGCGGCAGGCCCCGATCACCCGATCAGGACTGGGCCCAGGCTGGTATGGAGAACCGGGGTTGGGTGGTGGCAGATTCGGGCAGCAAGGGAAGGAGGACGCAGGAAACCTGATTGGCCCTGATCACCAACCAGGCCTAGGGACCCCATCCATACACAAATTTTGTGAATTGGGCCTCTAATATTACAATAAATTATTAGAAATCCATACACCAATCTTAAAACACATTGTGGATGGATCATAAGAATTCTTGTGTTTTCATGATACACAGTGTTTTACAAAGTATCATACTTGAAAAAGATGTTAGCTTGTTAAGAACATGTAATAAATAACTTCAAAATACAATGGGTATTTAATTTTAAAGTGTGACTGTAACATTTATATAAAACATTTTTTGTACTCATTCAGTAGAAACTTATCTTGCCACTGGGTAAAACTAGTAATAAAACTACTGGTCTGCAATGTGTTAAGTAAAGGTTTTTAGAAATGTTTGATATGCATTATTGAAATAATGAAAATCAATTTAAAGAACAACATTGATATTTTAGAAAAATTAAATAATTGTTATTTTATAGACACAGCTGGAATGTTAGTCTGACAAAGAAGTACAAATTCAGTAAATGACAGTCTTGAGAACATACATAGTACAACAATCACTACCGGTATTAATAACCACATATTATGATCAGATATTTCTGTGTGCTTTACATTCCTAATCTTCACATCAACCTTGCAAAGTAGTTGTTGATGTGTCTACTTTAAGAATAAGAACACTGGGACTCAGAAAAATTAACTTAGCACAGCCATGGTTATACAACTAAGTGGTTTATCTTCTGGAGGCTTTGAAAACAAAATCTTTATATCATAGTTATTTAAATATATTTAAAATAGAATAATGCAATTAAATATTCTAACAAACTTTTATGTAGCTATTGTTTAATTTCAATAATTATGAGTAATTTTGGAGTTGTAAAAAAATTATTTGGAGACTTGTTTTTTTTGAGTCAGGATTTTCATGTTTATGAGTAAACCAGACCCAGAAAGGATCAGAGTGACAGGCATTTGAAGCAACAATTTTGTCTTTCAGTACTCTTAGATTAAGAATACTTCTTTAAGCCCTAGCTTTGGCTCAGTGGATAGAACATTGGCCTGTGGACCGAGAGGATACATGCCTCGATTGCAGACTCCTCTCCAGCCCAGGCCTTGGTCATGGTTTTTGCAGAAGGCAACCAACCGATGTGTTTCTCTCACATCAGTATTTCTCTCTGCCTTTTCCTTTCTCTCCCACTCCCTCTAAAAAAAAATCAATAAAAAAATATCCTCAGGCGGGTCGGGTGCGGCCAGGCCCGGAGCAGCGGCTGCCAGGCTGGGAGCGGCCAGGCCCGGGGGAGCAGGCGGGTCGGGTGCGGCCAGGCCCGGAGCAGCGGCTGCCAGGCTGGGAGCGGCCAGGCCCGGGGGAGCAGGCGGGTCGGGTGCGGCCAGGCCCGGAGCAGCGGCTGCCAGGCTGGGAGCGGCCAGGCCCGGGGGAGCAGGCGGGTCGGGTGCGGCCAGGCCCGGAGCAGCGGCTGCCAGGCTGGGAGCGGCCAGGCCCGGGGGAGCAGGCGGGGCTGGTGCGGCCAGGCCCGGAGCAGCGGCTGCCAGGCTGGGAGCGGCCAGGCCCGGGGGAGCAGTCGGGTCGGGTGCGGCCAGGCCCGGAGCAGCGGCTGCCAGGCTGGGAGCGGCCAGGCCCGGGGGAGCAGGCGGGTCGGGTGCGGCCAGGCCCGGAGCAGCGGCTGCCAGGCTGGGAGCGGCCAGGCCCGGGGGAGCAGGCGGGGCTGGTGCGGCCAGGCCCGGAGCAGCGGCTGCCAGGCTGGGAGCGGCCAGGCCCGGGGGAGCAGGCGGGGCTGGTGTGGCCAGGCCCGGAGCAGCGGCTGCCAGGCTGGGAGCGGCCAGGCCCGGGGGAGCAGGCGGGTCGGGTGCGGCCAGGCCCGGAGCAGCGGCTGCCAGGCTGGGAGCCGCCAGGCCCGGAGCAGCAGCAGCCAAGTACAGAGCAACTAGGTTGGGAGCGGCAGTGACCAGACCCGGAGCAGCTGGTTGTGGAATGAACCAGAGCAACAGAGGCCAGGCCCTGAGCAGCCAGGCCCAGAACAGCTCGCTCCTTGCCTGCCCCTGCCCCACGGCTGCTTCTCAGACATGGCTGGAAACTTTCGTGGGAACTCGAGGGAAACTTTCGTGGGAAACTTTCGTGGGAACTCTGCTGAATCAAGTGATGAAGGCTTAGATCTGGATGTGTTGAGTTAGTTTAGGACTGGGGTGTTGATCTGTGAGTGCCTTGGGTGGGGCCTGGATGAGGCTGGTTGACCTAGTGGGAAATGTCTTTTGTGTGAAGTGTATCATTGGGCATGTGGAGGTATTATTGATATGAGAAAATGCTAAGTAACTGATTTACTATCTGAAAAGGGATTTACTATTGGGGAAATTGAGGGAAGAAGAGACTGAACATAAACTGCACCTATGGATGAGGACAATGGGGGATGGGGGGGGGGACGGAGGGTGGGGTGGGAACCTGGTGGAGGGGGGAAGAAATGAGGAACCTTTGTAATAATATGAACAATAAAGATTGCTTAAAAAAAAAAAAAAAAATATCCTCAGGTGAGGACTAAAAAAAGAAAAAGAGACATCCTAAGAAAAACTTCTTAATCACAGTATGGTAACTACCAAAGGAAAGAAGGGGTTTAGGGAGGTAAAAGGATAAAAGGGTGGGGAAAGGTAAATGGTGACAGGAGACTTGACTTTGGGTGAGGAGGACAATAAAATATACAGATGATATATTATGGAATTATATAATTGAGTCCTATATAATTTTATTAATATCACCTCAATAAATTCAATAAAAATGTTAAAAAAGGAAAATACTTTCTTACAAGAGTACTTGATTGTTTTAAAGATAATAGACTTTGGTGTTCTTGAATTGCTTCCTTACTGTATTTGGTAAGGAACTACTAGTATTTGGCCAACAACTGGTATTTTCCATTGATGTAAAACTGAGCAAATGCCTCTGTAACTGAATATTTGTGGTTTCCACAGGCTACTGGATACTGTGTTTTTCTGTAACACATAGTTTGCAGTGTGGACCCACTTGCCAGATTCTTCTTAAATTGGCTGTAACCTGAATTCTTTCCCTCTCACCTTATTCTACCCTCTCATTCTTCACTTGTATCATTTAAAGAACAAAAAAACCAAAGCAGCTTTTACCAATTTAAAAATAAATTTCTCCTGTTCCTCTATACTGAGGAAATATTTCTGCCACTTATTCTTACTTTTCCTCTTTTCTCCCCAGATTTCTAAAGAAGCTTGTACTTGCTCTTAATATATCTCCATTAAAAACAAAACAAAACAAAAAACAAATTGATAATAGTAGCTGGTTATCTGATCTTTTCTATATGCCAGGCATGGTGCAAAGTTCTTTTCTTGTGTTATCTTATTTAATCTTCACAATTCGAACTTCCGTTCTCCCAGTCAAACTCTTTTCATGCCCCTTTTACTGCCGAAGCTTTTGGATGACCTCTTAAAAAGAGCCTGATGCCAGAAAAAAAAAAGTTCAGTTGTCTTTCTAAATACACAATTAGTTGGACTATGATTAAAAACTAAATTAAAGTGGGAAGACAACTGGCTTCTGGTAAAGTCCTCACTCACCCTTGCTACTTGGTACAAAGTTTTACATGGCATATTTAAAAGTGACAGGATCTTTTTAACAGAAACCCCCCTTCTCCTCTCCCCCTCTCCCTTACTCTCTCCTTCTCCCACCCTTTCTCCCTCTCCTTCTCCTTCTCCCTCTCCCTCTCCCTCTCCTTCTCTCTTTTCCTCTCCTTTCCCCCCTCCTTCCCTATGCCCAGTACACAAATGCATATTTTCTTTAAGGGGAAGAATGCTAAACTATTTTTAGATGACAAATAGAAAATGGAAATCTAGGATTTTCTGTTATTAAGTACTAGGATATTTAAGAGAATAGTATATATCCTAAATGCAGTATGTCACCCTGAAATAAGAAAAGGACATTAATGGAAAAACTGGTAAAAATCCAAATAAAAATCTATAGTTTATAGTTTTATACCAGTATTAATTCTTCAGTTTTAATAGCTATACCATGATTATATGAGATATTACCATTAGAGGAAGCTGGGTAAAGGGATTATGGGAGCTTTGTACTATCCTTACAGCTGTTCTAGAAATCTAAAATTATTTCAAGCCGAAACTGGTTTGGCTCAATGGATAGAGCGTCAGCTTGGGGACTGAAGGACCCGGGTTCGATTCCGGTCAAGGGCATGTACCTTGGTTGCAGGCATATCCCCAGTAGGGGGTGTGCAAGAGACAGCTGATCGATGACTCTCTCTCATCGATGTTTCTAACTCTCTATCTCTCTCCCTTCCTCTCTGTACAAAATCAATAAAATATATATTTAAAAATAAAATAAAATAAAATTATTTCAAAATAAAAAGTTAAAATAGTGTTCATCTATACATGTGTCAAAGTTATGAAGAAAAAAGGAATGAATACTACCAAAGTCAAGATAATAATTACCTCTACAGAAGAGGGATGGCATAGGGATTGGAGAAGAACACATGACTTCTGAGGTGTTGGCAGTTTCTTGGAAGATGATTACATATGTGTTCACTTGATACTTATTTGTTAAACTGTACATATGATTAATACAGTTTTATGAGTGGATATTGTATTTCATAATAAAAGGATTGGAAAATTATATGTATCATTTTGATTTCATAAGATTGCAGATTGATAAGGGGTATCATTTGTCCCTAATGCCCGTATTCCTTAATGAATTTAGAGTCTGTAAAGAATATTTTCTTCATTGTGGCAATGAGATTTCAGCTATGAAGTGTTGCCTCTCTCAGTCATGTTCTGTGTGATTTGTTTAGGTAGAAACACTGAAACACAACGATCCTTTTGCTCCCGGTGGAACAGTTGTTGTTGCAGCCAGTGATTCAGGTAAGAAAACATCCACCTCTTTGAACAGTAAAAGCATTACCCTTTTTCTTTAAGCTTCTTTTCTTTGGTCTCCCAATGTATTTGTCCTATTTCCTTATGTATGGCTTTAAAATGATTGCATAGTCATATCCAATTGTAATCTTCCAACAATAATAATGATGATGACAAGTGTTTATTACTTTCTACTTTCCTTATTATTCATTCTCATTTTTTGTTCATGTTGAAAATCTTTATTCTAATATGTATTCTAGCCAATGTCAATAAAACCAATAACTTTTTTTCCCCTCTTATAACAGCAGTGTTGTTTGGCAGTTTCAAAGTCAGCATTGACTCCTAGGGATCTTGGCCTATATTTAAAAATGTGTTGCTTCCAATAAGTAATTACAATAATTATTTAGGTTTCTTTAGCTAAGTTTTCTCTGGCTCCCCAGAGAAAACTTAGCTAAAGAAACCTAGTTCTCTGTCTATCTGGACCCCTTGCTTTTTATTAACACAAGTTGTCCTAAAGTAAGGTAAATACACATATCAAAAGCCAGGGTTTAGTATACAGAATCCATTGTCAGATTGGGGGAACTGCCTCTGGCTGTTAGGTATTTGGCGAGGAGAAGGAGGAGGCAATAACATGTAGATTGAAATACTCTCAGCTATCTGGCAGCAAACAATTATTTATGCATCCTTTTCAGATTTGGGGAAATGCCTTTAACCATTTCCAGATGATTCAGCCCTGCTGACATGCTGGAATTAGCTTCCAGTAAAAAAAGCTGTTAAAAATGTAAAATATTGTTATGGGTTATTTCTGGAAATGAGATTATAGATGGCATTTTTTATTATGCTTTCATGTATTTTTCCACAGTGTTCATTACCCTTTATTCTTGGGGAGAAGAAGATCCCATTTGCATTTAAAGCCTGATTTTGCTGGCTCATAGCTCCTGTGTGCATCAATAGGAAGAAAGCCACCTGCTGAGTTCCTCTCCACGTGTTATTCCTGGGACTCCTCAGCAGGTGTCTCACACATGAGCTAAACAAGTTCACACTCAGTGGCTCCCTTCCAGTTTCTGGTGGGCCTCTGCTTCCTATCAATCATGATCAATAGCTGAGAAAGTTCTAGCCAAACTCGTATTAATTCCCTAGTTTGAGCAAAAATGCTTCATCGTTCATCCATGATAAATTTCCCAGTGTTTGGACCAATGCTGAATAGATAATTTATTCTGATGAAGAAAGGGTAGAAAAACTCTAGTAGGCTACAGTAGCATATGCTTCATACATAAATGTTATGTTTTTTTAATTTATTTCTTTCCCAAAGTATACTCCACAAAATTTCAGTCACTTCACAAAGTTTCAGTCATATTTGCCCTAACTCAGCACTATTGCCAAATGTTATGACTTCTTGTAAAAGCTGTGGGGCAATGGCAGAGAAAAAGCATGAAGCTGATTTCTCAGTCTCTCCAGTGAAATGAGCTCAGCTCCTTTCCCCTCATTACCTGTCTACCAATCAGGAGAGCGTCTGCACCCTGATTGTACCTCAGCTGCTGTGGAATCAGAAATAACAGGAAGAGGAGGAAAAGGAAGAGAAAGCCTGAAACACCAGCCATGACTAGGCTGGGCCCCAGCTGTGGACTCGGCAGATATGTAGTAATAATAAAGCATGTTTCATAGCTAAAGCTCCAGGATTTCCTGTAACTCTGGATTTCAACATCCTCTTCAGGCTCAGAGTTGTTGGTGTATCCCTAAAGGACTGGTTTTGTCTATGATTCTCACTACTCCTCTAAACTTCCTCCACCCCATGAGTATCTTGGGGACAAATCAAACAAAAATAATATACAGGGCTGGACAAAAGTAGGTTTACAGTTGTAATACAAATAAATAATTTAATAATACATAATAATACAAGAATAAACTCCATATTTTGTGTACTCACAACTATAAACTTACTTTTTCCCACCCCTGTATATGTTCCTTGCCATCTTGTCTATGCCCATGGTATGCTCATTTTTAGAGTAAAGGTACATTTACACATTTCAGTGAGTGGTTGGGCACAGTGTTCTAAAACTGATTTGATATAAAGATGAAGAGGTGAGGAAGGATAGGAGATTTTTCTGCACCTCTTTGCTTTCTCTGTCTTACACTCTCTTTTGCAGATTTCTTTCCTTTCTTTGCTTCTTTTCTGCTTTCTGATATCAAGCAGAAATTCCTTTAAACATTCTTTGACTATATTGGTGGCCCTATGCCTGAACAGGTGAAGCCTATCTCAAAGTCGATCAGTTCATTCCTGCCAAAAATGTTAGTCCATGTGGGAAATGTACCTGATGGAACAGATAATGTGTCATGCCTATGGAGCAGTGGTTACATAACTGCTTTTGCAATTACTATGCCTTCTGCCTGGAATAGCTTGCTCTCTCCTACCTTCATCCATTTGGCAGATTCCATCCCTTATTTAAAAGACCTAGCTCAAATGTTAGTCTTTTTTTATACTTTTCCTAATTCTCCCAGACAGTGGCTCCTCCGACATGTTTTTCATATCTTACATAGCTCATGTAAGATGGTTTTATTATAGTTTGTTTACCTCACTAGACTGTGAGCTTTCCAGAGGTGGGAACTGTATTTTCTTATTTTTCTAGATGTGCTAGTCAACATGTTTTTTGACCATTCATTTTTCATTGGCTAAGCCTTATTTCCTATTTTTAAGGATCTTAAAATCTAGTAGAGGGTGATATATCAATCATAGATCATTACAGTGCAAACAAGAATGCAGTCAGTGCCACAAAAAGGAAGAAATCACTTCTTGTTCTTGGAATTAGAGATGCCTCGGTTATTTCAAGCCTTGTGGATGAGGTAGCATTCAAATGGGCCTTGGAGAATAGGTGTGAAATGTGGAATTAATGTAGTCTAGCTTCCTTTACTTCTTGATATCGTTATTATGAATATATTAAATGCATGGGAGTTATATTATGTGACATGTATTCTAGAATCCCAAATGCTTTACCTAGAGTTAGTTTACCTGTTTTTTATCTTAAATTATTTATCAGTTGATTTATATAAAGGAATGCATTTATCATGTAGGAATATCAATGTGCTCACTGTCTTCTTGGACTTAGGTCAGAAATGTAGGAACTAATATTTGGGATTAGGTATTTTTCACCTATCTGAAATGTTACCAACCAAAAGAGGACACTTGATGTCTTTCTGTCCTGTTGCATTGATGTTCTTTCTTCTTTTCAGCCACAGACCCTTTTGCTTCTGTTTTTGGAAATGAATCATTTGAAGATGGATTTGCTGACTTCAGCACATTGTCAAAGGTATCTGAAGTGATTAGTGGGAAGGTATAAAATACATTGTTTCTACCAAAAGAGCAATCCTTCCTTTCAATTATATAACCCCCTCAACGGTCTTTGCAATTTGATTTCAATAATTCACAGCAAATGTTGGTTTCAAATAGAAATGGAAGATAAGATATAATTAAAGTAGGTGTACATATTTTTATTTATAAAGACAATGGTGATACCATACGTAATTATAGTTTTCTATGACAGGTTTGCTCAACACCTTAATTTTTAAGAATCTTATGTAGTTTTAAACTGCATTTTTCTCATCTCGGTCAATAGTTGTATAATCTGGGTATTCATTCCATCCTCTGCATTGGTTAATTAACTTTTTTTTTATTCTGAGGCTGCTAGGGTTATGTTAATACACATAATCCAGCACTTACATGTCTCCTACCTATTTTTCAAGGTGGCTGTAGGACTGATGGAAGCCAAAAGAATAAAATTAAAATATATGTCAAATTGTCTGTGCCATTGGTTCTCAACTGGGTATAATTTTCCCCCTCTGCCTTCCCCAGGAAACATTTGTCAATGTCTAGAGATACTTTTTGGTTGTCACAGTTGGGTAGGGGGACTATTTATATTTAGTGGATAGAGAGAAAGGATGCTGTTAAAATATCCTACCAGGTTCTGCCCAACACCCCGACCCCATAGAATTATGGCCAGCCCGAAATGTCCGTAGTGCTACTGTAGAGAAACACTGGCCTAACTAGAGCTAAAATCTTAACATCTGATTCATTATAGAAAACAGAATCTTTCATTACTCCATGTACTAGAAAGACGGGGTTTCCAGACTCACATTAAGACTAAAATTATGATTCCATGAGATCAGTTTGCTTTAAAAAAAAAACAAAAACTGACTTTCAAGTTGTCTTTAATGTTTAAGATGCCACTTTTAAATGGCCTCTGGTAGTTTTGTATTGCCTGAAGCTTGACAAACCTTTGATCCCCAGGTGGCTTGTTTGGTATGATCTTTTGCTCTTAATAAATATCGATATTATAATCACTACTCATATAGAGCAATTAAAAAATATTCCCCCTTTGTCTCTGAATGCAAAGGTTAAAATGTCAGTGCTCAGAATTAAAATAAAACTGCATAATACTGAAGACTGTTCTTCCAAATGCTATGTGTATAGCTTAATTGGTATCCTGCCTAATAAAAGAGTAATATGCAAATTAACCACCACTTTGCTACACCTACCAGCCAATCAGAGCGAGTATGCAAATAAACCCAACCAAGATGGCTACAGCCACAGAGAGCAGGAGGGAGGCTTGGGTTTCCCAGGCAATGGAGGAAGCCAACTTTTCCACCTGCCCTTGTGGACCTAGGCCTCCACTTCGAGGCTACAAAGTTTCAATTATAGAAGGTAAACAAATCCAAACAGAAATGGTGGCAGCCACGGAGCAAGTAGAAGGCTTGGTTCTGCTCCAGGCTACAGTTTCAATTGTAGAATGTAAATTCCAGATATGAAGGCCTCCGCTTGGGTCACCAGGGGGTGTGGCTGGCCTGCAAACCACTCCAGGCCCTTCGCTCAGGCTGCCCCATACCCCAAGGGAACCCCCACCCTGATCCGAGACATCCTTCAGGGCAAACCAGCTGGCCCCCACCCATACACCAGGCCTCTATCCTATCTAATAAAAGAGTAATATGCAGATTGACCATCACTCCAACACACAATATGGCTGCTCACATGATATGCAGATTGACCACCACTCCAACATACAATATGGCTGCCCACATGTGGTCAAAGATCCTGACCCCATTTGGACACAAGTTGGCCACCACAAGATGGCCAGAAAGGGAGGGCAGTTGGGGGGAACCAGGCCTGCAAAGGAGGGCAGTTGAGAGGGACCAAGTCTGCAAGGGAGGGCAGTTGGAGGCGATCAACCCTGCAGGGGAGGGCACTTAGGGGTGACCAGGCCGGCAGATGAAGGAAGTTGGGGGCAAACAGGCTGGCAGGGGAGCAGTTAGACATCAATCAGGCTGGCATGGGAGTGGTTAGGGGATGTTCAGGCTGACAGGCAGAAGCAGTTAGGGGCAATCAGGAAGGAGGGCAGTTGGGAGCCAATAGTCCTGGATTATGAGAGGGATGTCCGACTGCCCATTTAGGCCTGATCCGTTGGATCCCATCTCTCAAGGAGTCCCAGATTGGAGAGGGTGCAGGCTAGGCTGAGAGACAACCCCCCTTCTGCCTCCATGCACAAATTTCATGCACCGGGCATCTAGTAATATATATAACCGTGCGTAAACATTTCTTTTCTAACAAAGGCTAACAATGAAGATCCTTTCAGTTCAGCCCCACTGAACTCTGCCAACAATGTGGTCCTTACAAAAAATGTACTGGAGGAAGCACCAGTCAAAAGTGAAGATGTACCCCCAGCACTGCCACCGAAGATTGGAACTCCAACAAGACCCTGCCCACCACCACCTGGTATGAGAGCACCTAAATCAACAAGATGCATTTTGTTTTTTTTTTGGTTTTTTCTTAAAGTATTGTGTGAGCCTTATTTATAGACTTACCTAAAGGGCCTTTAACAAAGCAAGTCAAGAAAACCTGGCAGAAAACAAAACAAAACAAAAACATGGCAGGAGCCTGCTGCTATTCTCTGTTCTGACCTCAATACAGAATTACAGACAAGTGTACATGCTAAGAACCCAGCATGTGTAACTGTCATGAACTACTTTTCTGGCACATGCAAACTTCTTTTAAAATCATTTTAGAGAAGCAGTAAACGGAGAAAGAAAAGTATCGATGAAGTCTCTTGCTTTTCAGAGCCCATTGATTACTACTTGAACAATAGTTTCCTGCACTTTTGTGTTTTAATTAATTTCTATAAGAGAAGATTAGTTTGAAGTCCTGTTCTTTTCTTGTCAAATGTACTCCTTAAATTCTTTAATGTGAGAATATATGGTTTTGGTACCCAGAATTTAGCAATATAGTGATTTGAAAGAAATTAATGATTTTTTTCCTTGAAGAAAAGTCTTTTACCTCACTTAATGAGAGATGCCTTTGTTTTATAAAAGTGATTTTTTGGGGGATCCGGGAATAAATTTTTATTTTTTTTTAGTCTTTAATACTATACAAAGAAAAGGAACAAAACAAAAAAAGGCTAATCCCCTGAGTAGTTGTGCTACTAGGTTGTTATGTGAGAAGACACATCTGGTACACTGCTCTTTTAATCATATATCATTCCTTGGGAAATTTGAGCACAGGAACTATAGATTACTATTCTTTTTTGTTGTTGTTAATTCTCACCCAAGAATATTTTTCCATTGATTTTTTAGAGAGAGTGGAAGGGAGGGGGAGGACAGAGAGAGAGAAACATCGATGTGAGAGAGAGACAGTGTTTAGTTGCCTCCCGCACATGCCCCTGGATCAAGCTTATAACTGAAATACGTGCCCTTGACAGGAATTGAACCCAGAAGTCTTCAGTCTGCAGGCTGACACTCTATCCACTGAGTCAAACTGGCAAGGGCTTTTATCTATTTTTTAAAAAATATATTTTTATTGATTTCAGGTAGAGGAAGGGATGGAGAGAGAGAGAGAAACATCAGTGATGAGAGAGAATCGTTGATCATCTGCCTCCTGCATGCCTTCTACTGGGGATCGAGCCCACAACCTGGGCATGTGCCCTGACCAGGAATCAAACCGTGACTTCCTGGTTCATGGGTCAATGTTCAACCACTAAGCAACACCAGCCAGGCTCGATGACTGTTCTTGTCTTTTCACAATAACCTCCCTATGGTATTTCTTGGGATGATTATTTCTTCCTTGATTTAAAGAAATTTCATATTAATTGTTAATACTCAATAATCTGTTGAAAAGTTAGGTAAATTAGTGATTTCTATCTTTTAAGGAAAAGTAGCCTATATCATATATTGTTAGATGGTAAGGTTATCCAATCTATATGTTATACAAGAGTCAATTTGCTCATTTAATTTTTAGAACTATATAATGCCAATAGTGAAGTTATTTTTTAAGTTCTAAATAAAATAACTTATTAGTGCTTTAACTAAATCTTCAGCAGAGTGAGTGCATATCACTATAGAAAGATCAAGGAAAGGATGGTTTGTTGGAGAGAGTATTTCACTGGGAGCTCAAAAGTTTGAGTTCTAATTCTGGATATGCTCTGACGAGCTCGGCGATCTTGAGTGTGTAATTTCTGAGCCCCAGCTGTCTGAGCTGTTAGATGGTAGCAGTAATTCTAATTCCCCTACCTTCGCAGGATTGGTGGAAGGCTCCACCGAGATGTGAAATATGAACATCTTTTGTAAGCTATTAAAGAATTTGTTGATACGATTGTTATTATCAGAGAAACATTGATGTGAGAGAGACACAGTGATTAGTGCCTCCTGTACATGCCCGGGATGGAGCTTGTAACTGAAATATGTGCCCTTGCAGGAATCGAACCCAGGAATCCTCAGTCTGCAGGCTGAATATACATTTTAAGAAAATATATATTTGAAGATATTTTAACACTTGTTCTTAATTTTCTTCAAGAAGTGTTAAATTTTAAACTTTAAAATTTGAAAATTTGCTTGAAAATGAGGATGATGCTGTTTGGTCAAAGATTTTAAGCACAAAGATTTAGGCCCTGTGCTTCAAAACATTCTCTTTATTCTTCAGTTTGATGTGTTGTAGGTGGCAAAGTAAATTTTTAATTTCATGTTCCCAGATGTTATATTTAGATCTAGAGAAAAATCAGAAGACTATCAGCATTTTTCAAAGGTCATTTGCCTTTACTGCCATGAGTGAATAACTGAATCAGGCTGAGGTGTTAATAGCTGAGGCCGTTGACAATCTTTGTCATTCTCCTGATATCTTTTCTTCTCTCTTTTCCTGGGAACATGCTATTTTGGGGAAGAAAAGGGTTTACTCCAGGCAGAAATAGGATTCCTGACCCATCCCATTTCCCTTTGCTGTTTTTTAATTTACCTACACGGAGCTGCAATATAGTTGAGAAGTTATGTGTGAAAAATTTGAAGATAGATTGTTGGTGTGGCCATTTAAGAGGAAATTGAGAATGTGTTTTGGGCTTTATGCTTCCCGTGTTCATGTTCTTGTGTGTTCATGTTTGCTGTATTTACTAGTTGAGTTAATTGTAATGATTTTGATCCAGGGAAAAGACCCACCAACAAATTGGATTCTTCCGACCCCTTTAAACTGAATGATCCATTTCAGCCTTTCCCAGGCAATGATAGCCCCAAAGAAAAAGATCCTGATATGTTTTGCGATCCATTTACTACCACTACCACTACCAATAAAGAGGCTGACCCAGGCAATTTTGCTAACTTCAGTGCTGTAAGTACTGTGAATGGGCTGTTTGGGGGAGAATCTTTTCATTTATAGTTTGAAGGGTTTTTAAAGATTATTTTGGAATCTTCCAAATTTGTATATCTCCAATTAAATTTACCAATGGACTAAAAGTGATCATTATTCTTCCCCCAACCAAAACCCCTGTTTGCTTCTGTTAGGATGGTTCTAAAATTACTCCATTGCACAAGTGGTTTCAGTAGTTCTTGTGATATATACCAGTTGTTGTAAACCCTTCTCTTCGTTTTGGTAAATAGCGTAAATAAAATCCTTACTGTTGTTATTTTGTAAATTGTTATGGATGATGGGCCATTAGACAGATATCTGCTCTCTGCCCGCTGGCTAAATAATGCCAATCATGAGCTCATGTATTTGTAACTGTGTGTGTTTGTGTATAAAGCTTTGTTGATTTCTGGAGACCAGTCAGCAACTATGATATGACAGGATAGGGCCAAGGACTCTTTGAATAGAACGTAAAACTCTGGTTTTATATAGTTGTGTTTTTTAATGTCAATTTTATGAAATAAATACAATCATCAAGAGTTAAACAAATATTTAATTATTTGGAGGACTCTAATTCACTAACCTTCCATACTTACTCTGCCTGCTCCCAGAACTGACTGAAATGGGTAGAACAGTAAAAACAAATGGAAGGAAGCGGTGATAACGGCATAGGCAGGGCCTGTAACATCCCAGAACTGAGAAAACCAGCTATGGAGATGTCACTCTGGAGCAACATAAAGCAATGACCTTTTCCACCATTATTTGATAAGAAACAAGGCTTTTTAAAAAATAAAATTCTTAAAGTAGCTAACAAAGTTTCATTTTCCCAGATTCTATAACAAAGGAATTTTCCTCTACTTATCACTTTAAGCCTTTGAGATGATTTTGGAGATAGGAGATTGAGACCCTGGCCGCATTCTGTATGTCTCCATCAGTGTAGCATTGGGTCACTCACCCAGCAGCCACTTCTAGTTAGAAAGGAGGTAGACAGGAGTCTGCATACAACCAAGTCACATGAATGAAAGTGAGCTACCTAGATTTTAAATCTGTACTCTAAGCACCAGTGGCTTCTTATGAATGTGAAGGAGCAGAATAGGAATCAGTATCTTGATTATTGAAAAATGCAATGTCAGGATTATATTGACATGACTTTTGTTAGATGAAATTTGAGTTGTTTCAAGCATAGAATCAAGAATTGATCTTCTTAGGAGATTACAATCCTCTTAATATAAAATAACCTTCTGACAGTTTGTGGCATTTAATATATAAATATAATTTCATCAAGTCAAAACCTGTTTGGAATGATTCTTGAACAATAGCTGAGGCATTTTGCTTATTTCATACTCCAAAATCTCAATAGAGTATAATATAAAGCAGCTCATAAGAATTTCTTTTTTCATTATGAAAAATTTATTATTAAAAAATTTAAAGTCCCTCTAATTCCTAAGGAAAAAAGCTATCATTTCATCTTATTGTGGTATTTAGCCTATTGTGGTATTCCTTTCTGTGACAGAACTTGAAAGCAAGGAGATTTTTTTTTTTCCTGGCAGAGTATTAACCACTCTCCAGATGCAATCCTGGGAGGTTGCAAGGAGAATTTTTTTACTTAGTATTTGCCAAGATTGCTTTTTTGGGTAGATAAAACTATTTACCTGGCCTAATTATTGGTGTTAAGGTTTTATTTAGATTCGGTCAAAAGGTTTTCAGTGCCTGCCAAAAATGTTTATAATGCATTTGAAAGAAAATTTGGTTCACATCTTGTTTAGTATTCTTATTTGATGTATAGCAGAGTCATCACATTCTTTGCTTTATAGTTTTCCTGTACCTGAAGGTTAGATTAAGGGAGGGAATCACCGGTGGAATTAAGTTGAAAATGATTGATCATGTGAGGATGCTCAATGAAGGTGATGTGGTAGATAAAAAGGCTAATCCTCACCTGTTTTTAAATCTACTTACGTCACCTTAAGCATATACTTTTTAAAATAATTGTAATGTTTGTTTTTAGACTTGCTATCTGTAAACTGCATTACTTTTTAAAAATAAAATCACAATTAGGAATATCATTTGTAGAAACTATTTTTCCTTCTTTTCTTTTTGTTTTATCTACTCATTTGTTCATTCATTTGTCTTTTACACGGTAGTATCCCTCTGAAGAAGATATGATCGAATGGGCCAAGAGGGAAAGTGAGCGAGAGGAAGAGCAGAGGCTTGCCCGACTGAATCAGCAAGAGCAAGAAGACTTAGAACTGGCCATCGCCCTGAGCAAATCTGAGATTTCGGAAGCATGAGGAATTCTCCTGTCCCTTGTCATCCATATTGTACTCTTCTCCCTAAATACTGAAGCTCTTTACAGTATATATCAAAACTACCTATGAGCATAGGTTTGAGATTCCTGTAAATGTGACAAAAGTATACCTGTTTTATTAAAATTCGTTTAAGACTTGTCTTCTCCCCACCCCAGAAAAGCAGCGACGCAGTCCGACAGCTTCTCCCAGGTCCCCGTCCTCGTGTGCATTTACTGTGCGCTTTTGCCTGCCTCTGCTACTCTCATCTGTAAAGCTAGAGCCCCCAAGCCTCTGCCTTCTAGAACGTAGAGAAATAGTGTCACCCCTGTGCTACTCTTGTTTTGAAGTTACTCTGATGATAGCCAGTGGGGTTCTTAACATTTGCAGTATTCTCCTCTGATTTTAATGGGTGAGGGAGGGGAAGGGAAAGAACATCCTATTTCTTTTATGATAGTGCAGATTGGCTAGTTTAAAGTGCATGTTAGTGTTTCCATAGAACCAGAAGACTGTTTAATTTGTTTTCTATAGACAAGGAAAAATATTTTGCATAAATTGACTCCACTATTGAAAAGGGGATGCTTTAGATTGAACCGTTACAGCTTCAGACTCAATCTCTTCCTAAATAAAAACATTAAAGCCTCGTGTGAAACATTAACTTTTTTTTCTGAATTTAAAGAATTTTAGATAGAAAGATACCTCTCCATACTTTTAAGTGCTAAACAGTGGAGAAAATTTATCATCTAAAACGTACCCGTCAGTATAAGGCAAGCAAAAATGGTAACATGGCAGTCACGCTGCCGGGCTGTGGCACTGTCCTCTTTAGTTCATGGCAGGTTTATTTTTGTACTTTTGGAGAAGAAACGTCAGCAAGATAGAACTGGAAGGTACTTTAATTTTTTTGTACATATTTTTTTGTTTCCTTTAACGAAGGCTCAGTTACTTGAAATGTAAAAACTTTCACTGAATACGAATGAAAAAGTGGCATGTATTAAATCATATTGCTCATCTTTGTGGTTTAAAGCAGTTTATTCTCTTCATGTTTTTGACTATGAAAATGGTAGGCTAGCAAAAAAAGGAAAAGTCTTGTTTTTTTAATTGGGAGAGAAGAGACCTGCCAAATTATAAAGTTCTTCATGTGTGAAAAGCCCATCTCTTGTGAAACTGACCTAGCATACAAGGTGAATTTGAAATAGACTGTGAAGTGGGCCATACAACTTAATTTTGTAATTTTTTCTCAACATCAGTTACTGACTTAGGTAATGTATTGAATACCTATTTACCAAGATAAAGAAAAATGCATCTAAAAAATGAATTTAAAGTGTTTCTGGTTACAAAATCCAAGTGATATTGATCTGTGTTAATCAGAGTAACATTGCTTAGCCTATGAATAAATTCTAAAATAACCAATTCATTTCATCTTGAAATGGTGCTTTTTTCCCCCCCTCCACACACAATTGGACTGCTGGAGTTTAAAACAAACTTAAACCACTTTCTTGCACTGCTTTTTTCTACTTTTGTAAACTGAAACAGCATAAAAGACGTACATATGAAGCAAGGGCTGAATCATGATCACCAGGCTTTCGTTTTGATAAACTAATCCAGTGACTGATGATATATGCGAAAGTTGACTGAGGAGGCAGTAATGGGAGTTGTGATAGGTTGTAGTTTTGGGTGTTTTTCTTCCCCTTACACTTCAGGAAAAAGGTAAGTTGACTTGAACAATCTTCTTTTTGCACTGGGAAAATGAACAGATGTTTGAAAAATATTTTTCTTAATTAAAAAAAACACTCTGAAAAATATTAACTATCTGTAACTTATAAACACCACCTTTTGATGTAATAAGTGTACCCTAATCTTATGTATGTTTAACTGGATTACATAGATTCTTATCTTTTGTTAAAATATGTATACTCAGTGGACCATTATTATATTAAACTATGTATATATTATATAAATATAAATATATATCTCTATCTTTACACTCACCCGTGTAGGATGAATGTCTTAGGGTCATTTTTGATTCTATTTTACACTGTTGACTCTGGCTCCACAGCCTGTGCTTCAAAAGGACAGATAAGCATTCTGAGAGCAAGTGGTACCACTTCCAAAGTGTTAACTATCTTTACAGATGTGTTCAGGTTTCTCTCTCAATAGAATTTTCTCTAATGTTTCAAACTTCTAAATTGTAACCTGTAACTATGAGAACAATAAACTTTACGTAATAATAAAACTACCCATACATCTTATTTGAAATGGAGCTTGTGGGACTGGAAGTTGCTCTGCGTGAGTGAGTGGGGAGTGAATTCTAGGACGTGACCACTGTAGGTTTTATAAGCACTGCCCCCAGGCCCTCCCCTTCTCACAGCATCAGAAATGGAACTTCTAAGCCGTCAGTGCTGCTCCCTGATCAGGGTGTGGGCTGGATTGACAGGAAGCATCGGGGAGGAACTGGCTGGGTTAGGCGCAGATCACCATAGTAGTGACTGTCAGGAGAGAGTGAGAGGTGGCCTGAGGACCAGAAGGAATAAGAAATCAGGATGGAGAGGTAAGATAAAGGAGCACAGGGGACTGTCAAGGCAACGTGGTTTTGGCTAATACACACTGGAGCAGTTGTAGGATTAAGGGACTTAGTTGTATTGATAAAAAAAAAAATTGTGCTGCATTGAACTTGAAGAGGTTTTAGAACTGATGACTCAATATTTTGTCTTTGACATTTGTTTTTGGTTCCATTGACCCCATCTGGCACAAAGCGCCCTCTCTGGCATTAAGTCAGTGGAAAAAAATAAACTTTATCTCTGCTTTACATCATTACAGCCTGACAATATTTGCAAAGTACAGGGACGGGCTGGCTCCACACTGTCAAGTGGCAGCGGCACTTCATACCTGAGGTAGCTCCTGGAGGCCTGTGTCCTGGTATGGGATCATGGGCCCTTCACAAAGCAGGTGCAGCAGTGTCCTCTGCAGACCGTCAGGCTGGACCTGGGAGGGCTATCACTCCCTCTGAATATGGCGCACGGGGCATGGGGAAGACGGCTCCTGTGCTGAACAGTCAGTGCAGTGTGATGTGTGCACTCAAAATTGAAGTGCTGTGGCGAAATCGGTTTGACTCAATGGATAAGGCATCGGCCTGTGGACTGAAGGGTCCCAGGTTCGATTCCGGTCAAGGGATATACCTTGGTTGTGGGCACATCCCCAGTAGGGGGTGTGCAAGAGGCAGCTGATCGATGATTCTCTCTCACTGATGTTTCTCTCTATCCCTCTCTTCCTCTCTATAAAAAAAATCAATAAAATATTTTTTAATTGAAGTGCTGTGCGTGAGAGGGAATTTACTGTCAAGCCCCACAGATAATGCTTCCATCAGAGAAAGAAGTATTCTTCCTCAAACACACATCCTTCCATTTCTTACAGCTCCATTCTAATCTTAGGAGGCCACTGCCATATGTGCAGTCCAGCATTGACCAAAACATCGTTATGTGGCTCATGACTGTATTTTGTGGAAAGAAAGAGGCAAGGAAAACTAGCTGACACTTCCTAGGAACATCTCTGGGCCTGGCACTAAGGCTTTCAATACATTACCCCTTTTAATCCTTACAATACTTAAAACAGAAAACATGATTTATAAACAGATGGAAGTGACTTGGCCAAGAGCCCCAATCTAGTAGGGACCAAGCCAGGGTCCAGCCCAACTGCCGTACCTCCGAGTTCTGCTTGTCCACAACACCAGGCCTCCTTTCGCAACCCAAGAGGCAAAGCAGCAGCCCTGGCCCTCAGCAAGAGCTGATGTTCTCAAGGAGAACCTTCATTGTAGCTTGCTGAGGTTTCCTGCCCTAGCCAGTTTGGATAGAGTGTGGGCCTGCAGATGGAAGGGTCCCGGGTTCGGTTCTTGTCAAGGGCACATAATTTGGTTGCAGGCTTCTGGCCCTGGTCAGGAGCATGCAGGAGGCAACCAATTGATGTGTCTTTCTCACATCTGTGTTTCTCTCCCTCGCCCTTCCACTCTAACTTGGGGGAAAATATCCTCGGATGAGGATTTAAAAAAAAAAAAAAAAAAAGATTCCTGGCCTTATAGAAAGAACCCAGACCTTGGAGTCTGATAAACATGGGTCTAAATTCTGGCCTTCCTATCTCCTACCTACACAACATTGATTAAATCTCTCAATCCCTCTGGCCCTCGGTGGTGATAACAGTTGCGTCAGAGGGTTGTGAGGATTAAGGATGACGGATACAACGTCTTTGTTCCTGCTGCGTGGCAGTTGGCAGACACTAAGAGCTGTCTTGTCCATGTTGAAGAAGACAGAAAGCTAACAATACATTTTAGGAAAATGTCCGTGACTAAATGAAATAAACTTCCGTCATCTTGAGAGTGTATTGATCCAGAGCACATTATTCTCTGGCTATGGATAAAACTGTCACATAGTAAAATTGCAGATAACACGCACGATGTGTCCAGCACTGCTCTGTATTGTTTGCATTAACTCACTTAGCCTTCACAATAGTCCTTTCCATAAGCGCCTGTTGTTATCCCCATTTTTTTACAAAAGAGAAAACAGAGGTTAAGCAACTTGCCTGAAGTCACACACAACTATCAAGTGGGGAGGCCGAGATTCCAGCCGAGGGGGTCTGCTGGAGGGGTTGTTAGATTCAGACTAAAATAAGCTTTAGGGAAGTGGTTCGTAAAAGCTGTATGCATTCTAAGTGTGTGTGGCTAGGTTTAAGACAGAGATTTGAGTCTCGTGCTTGGGTTGCATCCTAGCTCTGCCACTTAATTAGCGGTTGTGATCTTGAGCAAGTTACTTAATCTGCCTCAATTCCTCAGCTATGGAAATTGGGATTATAAAAGGAGACATTTGACAGGGTTGTTCTAACAATGGAGCATGTAAAGGGTTTAGAATAAGGCCTAACATGGCTTTAAATAAATGATGGTGATGACGAAGAGGACGAAGGAGAAAAGAGGCAAGAAGAACAGGAAACTAGCGTTGACGTGTGAGAACCATGGGACCAAA